TTCGAAAATCTTGTATGCCAGATATTTGAAAAATGTAATATTGTAAATTTCTTTAGCCTCCCCTACAATGGAAGGTTTTTCTTAATGAAATCCATTCCTCAGATATGTAATACTTTAAGTAATATATAACTTTAAATAATATCGTATAAACCTTTTTCAAATTCTAGTAATTCTGAATGGAAAAAAATATGAAAAAGATTTTCTTAAACTCTTTTTTTGTTTGAAAAGTGTAAAGACAATGTGACATATGTCCGTATAATGTTTTGATTAAAACTGGAATTTCGAAAATTGCAAAAGATCAACTTTTCTCAACCCCTTCAATATTAACACTGGATATATTTTTATAGCAATCTTCTCATCTTTAAATCAATTAATAAACAACTACTTCAAAATATGAATAGTTTTCGCGCGATTTTGAGTTGTACCATTTGTTTTGCTAGTGATGGCTGAAAAGTTAGTAGGTTGGAAGGTGCAATATAATAATATTACGTAACCGTATTGCGAGGAAGTTAGAATGTGCTGCAAGAATGTAGTGTTAGAATGTAGTGAAATATAAACCCCTATAAGGACCTATTTCTTGTGTATCTCCTTTCCATACTGACTAAATGATTCGTATTTTGGGGCGCGTCAACTGATAAAGTCATTAGTTCCCTAAGTATAGTACATGTTTTATAGCGGTAGGCGGCATTGATCTTCCCCCGACGAGATCCAGCTGCATGTCGGCTTGCTGTTTTCTCACCCACGTATCTCCCACCAACGGGGCACTACTCCAGCCAGGACAAGCTCCAAGCTCCCGCCCTATGTAGTCGTAGTGTAGTACGAGTATAAATACGGGGGTGAGCAACAGGACAGGAAATATGAAGGTATGATCGCGCTCGGTTCGAGGCCCATTTGTCAGGGTTCTGATCCAGCACTCGCCTGATGTTAATCGAAGAAACCACTGAAAAACACCGATCAGAGAAGCCGGCCGCTAGAATTCTTCTCCAAACAACTGGCGAGTTCAACCTAGCTATTTAGCTAGTGTCGATACTCCTGCCACCGTCGGGTGTGGAACCCTACGATCTCCCGTTCAGAGGCCCTGCAGTTTCTGATTGATGCCCTGAGCCACCGAAGCCGGTTCATGCTGACAGCGCGAAGTGCATTTCACTTCGGAAACCGTATTGAATTGAAGAATATGATTTGCTAGTGACCTGCGTCAGTAAAAATGCTGCTGAACAAAACCGCACAAAATGGTTTTCCGAAAAAGAGCTAGCTCATGTTCAAGAATAACAGATAAAATACCCTCGTTTAACAATTCCAATAAATTAAATAGTATTTTATCAAAAACAGTCTTCACGAATATTGCAATAACGCGGTATTGTATGCAGTGTTTCTCTACGTATAAGGCATATGTAGACATTGCCGCTCTTTCTTCGATGTGACCGCAAGGGTTTGCCATTTTGGGCTGTTTGAGTACTACATCCGCCATTTTTCTGTGAACAATATCAAATCATAATTGTTAAATCGATCGAAGAAAGTGTATTTCGAAGGGTAAAATTAATAAATACGTTGCATTTATTCCAGTTTAATGTAAAGAATGAAGCGTAAGTTTAACTTGTTCGTCGTACAAATTAAATATCCGTATTATCTCCTTAGTATCATTTTAGAAAATGATAACATTTGTGTCGTATAGTTCGTATTATCAATATTTCTTAGTAAAATTTTTAATTAAATTTAAGATCTGTAAGGAAATATGATTAACAATAATTTGAGACCCAACTCCAGTCTCGAAAACAACATGAAAATAATTAATTTTGAAAACTTGTATTAACCATTTTCGTACATTTTAATATAATATCTTACAACACCATTACCATTACCAAAAGAATGCCAATAATAAAATCGGGACTTAAAATAATTGAAATTCACCAACAGTAAAATCCGTTCTTTCCACCGTGTTTTGCATTGCATTGATCGTCATCGTCTGGCATTTTTAAACACGACGGTGCAAACACCGTTGTTTGGTAAAACGTCATCGTTTTTGTTTTGTATGAATTATGTTACTGTCAAACCTGAAGGGGTGGCTCAGGGCATTAACTCAGGCCCGTGTTAACGCACGGGCCCGAAGGGATCATGCTCAACACTCCTCAATGTTCAGGGGCTCCGAAAGGTGTTAATTTTTTTTTCTTCCAAAAATAAAATTAAAATCAGTATAAAAGTGGTTAAACTATATGCAAAAAAGTGTCATAACGGAGTGATGTGTCGCGCATCATGGGATAATATTTATAATATGAAATGTTGCTGCTTGATGCGAGAATGTCATTCAGTAATGAGATTTTTTTAACAACACTTCTCTTTAAATTGAGGGTAGGTAAAAGTGAGAATAGAGGGCTCCCAAATTAATGTAAGCCCTAGGGCCCTCAAAGCTGTTAAAACGGCCCTGCATCAATTGATGTCACTGACCGGGAGGTCCCAGGTTCAAATCCGACGGTGGCAAGGTCTTAGACACTAGCTAAATAGCTAGGTCGAGTCAAATCGCTGTCTAGAGGACAGTTTTAGTACCCGGCTGCTCTGACCGATAGTTTTTTTATTCTTTCTTTTTTCTTTCTTTCTTTCAACGCCAGGCAAATGCCGGAGCAGTACCCTACCAAACGGGCCACGTACCGCGCGAGATCTTTCCTCTTTCTTGTTTTATCTTCGCCCCTTACACACACACACACACACACACACACACTTACATGCACAACATTACCACACATGCCAGGAGGCCGGTTGGGAGCTTAGAGCTTGTCCCGGCTGGGTGATACTTCAAGGGGATACCCTGGTGACTTTACGTCCCTGCCACCCGACGAAAGCTGTAGCAAATAGGCCACTTTCAATCGCCTTTTTGTTGGCAAATGAATGCGGGAATTCGAATTGTAGTGCGGATTCGAATAAACTTTTTCGTCCAAATTTTCTCCCTTTTCTTGTATTTAAGACTCAACATATAAGGCTTGGTACAAGAAAAGCAAAAATCAACATTCTAAGTTTGACAAAATGGGTGGTTTTCTCTTTTGGCAGAACATTGCGTCTCAGTTTCAACTTCTGTATATTGTAAGATTGGGTTTAAATCCCAGTCTTCTGATTTCTTACCCACTCTTCGCAAGAGGGAAACTGAAATTTTGTACGTAAAAAATGTATTACTCCGTAATGTATTCCACGAGTTCAAACGCTATCGGTAGAAGAAAATGCTGCTTCCTTTCTTATGTCTGCTGCTGCCACCTCCCGAGGAAAAACACGCACTACACGTATGGGACTAATGACCTTCGCTGTTGACGCGCCAGGAATTACTAATCAATCAATCACAAAATGCAAAGACTTAAAGGAACACAGTGAGCCTAATTAATCTCTGTTGATACACGGGTTGTTGGATTCCGAGAACAATGTGTCTAACGACTGTGACAAGCAGATATCAGAGGAACTAAATTGAATTCTTCCATGAGACATAGCAATCAATGGCAACAGTTGCAAATAGCCCAAAATTGCACTTATTGGCACTTGCAGCGCCTCAAAAATATCTTTAACGATTCGCAACGGCTGTTCGTCTTGATGTTTTTATTATTTACAAATAATAGTGTTTCGACTGACTGGAATCCATTTACGTACTTATGTACAAGTAAGGTATTTCTAGTTATTTGATACTTATTATATATTCCTTTGACGCATTGCATTTCTCTCACGGCGTGTTAAAAATAGTATACACAACACGGGGTCGAAGTGATTCGCGTCCTTAATATGGAAATTTGATTTCGTCTCGTCGTATTTGACGGATTACAGCTATCAGAGAAAAAAATATGTGCTAGGTTTTATTAAAATTCCCTTGTATTTTTCTTCAAAAGTGTCTATCTTATCTCCTCCCAAGCTACGTTATTCTTCTATTGCCCGACTTTCCATGTTCCCTCCCCTTGCCACAGCTGTAATATACTTTCTCCTTTCACGTACTCGGTGTGGCGAACGCGAGATGAATGTAAAACAGTCCAAGCCAATGCAACAGACGTTTAAATAATGTCCAAACACAAACTCTTTCAAAGAACCGGGAGCAGCGCTGGCGATTTTACACGCCGCCAGAGTTTACATGTATTTCATCTAATTCATTTTTGATCTGCGATGCTGTCCAGCCCTTGAAATAAAAATGTTTAATCACAACACGAAACATACATTTTTCTCCCATCTTCTAACGCGCGACGTCAAACTCACGAATCCAGCTAGGTGTGCAACAATTAACTACGCGTCGCATTTGTTTTTGAAAATTCAAACAACTGCCTACACAGAATCGTGCCTTTCTAGAATGCGCGCTCTTCCAATGAACTTTACCAGACTTATCACAGGACCTTCGTATGATATATATATGTGTATATATATATATAATATATTATATAAATATATATATATATATATATATATATAATGACGATGTTGTTAAACAATTATTTTTGAGGTACCGAAACACTGTTCCGTCGGGTTTCGTTCTTCATCAAATATTGCTGCTGGAAACCTCTTCCCTTCCATTGTTTTCATCATAATTAGAAATTCCCTCCTCTCTAAAAAGCAGAAGTATTTTTCATATGCCCCTTTTCAATTCAACTTCGCAGTGTTGTGAAACGTAATGTATCTTCTCTACTGTAATCACTAGAATATTTTAGAATTTCTTCAGAAAGATCAACTTGCTAACATCATAAACCAAACTTAAAAGTTTTTTGTATGTTATTTGGACATTCATCTTTAATTAAAAAATTAAGCTCTAGAACAAGAAATCTTTATAATTTGTGAATGAATGGAATGAACAAGAGATCTGTAATATTCACGCAAGATTTTTTAATATTTTTTCAATAATTTAGTCCTGGACACTGGAATCCTATCTCTTTGGCCACCATAGAACATTTCTGAGCTTCAAATGACTGATTAAATTTGAAGTAATCTAAAATACTAAGCATTTCAATGAGAGGTAATATTAAGGATTATATTTATCTTATGAAAAAAAGTTCTTATAACATCATAAAGTTTTTATTTTGAGAAAACTAAAACAATATAGCTGCACTTCATAAGTATAACAATTCATATATATTTAATTACACAAAACTACCATTGTCCTTCACAAAAATTAGTTTTTGCAAATATATTTCTCAAAGTAATATTATTTCTTTATAACATCACATTAAATGTGTAATACAATTTGGAACAAGGATAAGATTTATGTCTATTAAAATAATTTCACATATTGAAGATCAACTAGATGAACAGACAATATTTTATTTCATTTGTTCACAGAGTTTCAGTCTCAGGATGAGATTTACTTCAGATGCATCCTATATAATGATAAACATGAAATAATATGTAATTTATAATAGTTAATTACTTTTAATTTTCTCTTATTTTAATCATTATTCAGTATACACCTGAAGAATATGTGGTCCCAGGTTGAAATGTTGTGAACAAATAAAATAAAACACTGTCTGGTCATATGGTCATTTTTCAAATCTTGAAATAATTAAACATATTTGTTTTATCACATATTTCAGTCAACAAACTACACTCCCAAACTACAGCTTTTTGTACTTTGCTACTTGTTTTACTTTTAACACAAAAAAATTAAAGAAATATGCAATTGATAAGAAAGATTGCTGGTAACAGGGTTCATCAATATTTTTTTTAAAGCTCAAATTGAGAAAGCTCCTTAACATGGAAGAAAAATATAATTTTTAATGGAGGGTTTAGCTCCTTATTTAATGCCCTTAATATATTGCATTGACATGTTGATTAATTGGTCCCACATTATTTTTTTATTTATTTTTTAACACCAATTTGGACATTGTCTTCATTAAAAAGGAGTTAACTAAAACAAAATAAATGTATGTACCATGAAAATTACTATACCGAGGACCTTTTCATAAATTCAAAAAATCTTGAAGAATTGGTATTTTAATATTTGTGTTCTTATATGATACCGCTAGCCATTATGCCCTAATTTCAATAATGTACTACATAAATTTGCTTTAGATTGAAATGACCTTAAAAACCTGTTCAGAATAATCTCCACTATCCAGGGTAATGTCAGTGAAGGAAGTTAATGCAAAATCAAAGCGACTCAATATGATAGGTGTAAAAATTAATAGTATTATGTACAATGTTTATATTAAATAATTCCCATAAATTTGGTACATATCATAATTTCATTTGCAGAAAAATTATTTGTTTTTTGTTAAACAAATCCTGGATAATTGGACTCACAAATAGATAATAACAGATCATTAAACCCAGGAAAATGGATATTACACTACACTTCATCAATTTTTTTTTTCTGTATGAAATAAATTTCTCCTGTCTGGGTAGCACAATTATATATTCAACATTTCTTCCAAGAACATTCCTTGTTTTCTTTCCATTCTGGATCATGCACTTCATACACCTCTTTCTTCCATATTGGGACAGAAGCTTTCAGTTCATTGATGGCAAACTCAACAGCCTTCAGGGATTCAGCTCTGTGGGGTGAAGCAACAGCAATAACCACACTGGCCTCCTTGACAGGAACGATCCCCAACCTGCAATGCACAAATAAGCATTTCATAAAGGCAGTTTGTTTTAAAACAAAACGCTCCAAATTAATACTTGAATCAAAGATAATCATGTAGCTTGGGGGTTAATAAGAGAGGCAAGGTTAGACAATTTTGAGCTTTGACTAAAAGTTAGGATCTCCCCCTAAAAAAATATGTAATCTAAGTTCACATTTGACTTATTTTGTTATTAAGTTTGACATCGAGATTCACAACTGATCATCTCTAAATTGGTGGTTAAAATTTTCAGTGATGACAACAATTGCATGTCATCTCACCAAATAACTTTCATTGTCCTAAGCATTTGTAAATAAGAATTAATTAAATGTTAAGTAAATGTTTATTAAATTATTTAAATTTTAATTATCCATATAGCCAGTTTTTGCAACAAGCACAGCCACTTTAGAGAACAAATATGTTTTATCTCAAGGTTTGAGGAAAGTTTAAGATAATAAATGATGGATTGAATAGTAAAGTAACTAATACATAACCAGACTAGAAAACATATTTAACCTCATACAAGATTAGAGTTTAACAATATCCTTTTAAGAAAACTGATCTAAATAAAGAATAACCAGAGGCGCGTCTAGATATTCAGGCACCCATGGCAAGCATAGTATTTGTGCCCATCACATAACTTCAAATTTGGGTGGTGGTTATTTGTTTTAGTGGTTATACTCTAAATAGTGGCACTGGTGACTGATGCCCATGGCACATGCCATGTCTGTCATATCATAGATACACCTCTGAGAACAACCATGGTAAGTAATAAACCTTTTCTTTTAAGTGTTCATAAGCTTCGTAATGGGAGTTTTTGTCATTTATGAAAAGGATAGTAACAATGAGATCTTTGCAAAACCTTAACATATGCACATTTTTCCCTTTTGAACCATAATAATTACATATTCAAGATTCAACATCTTTTAGTTTCAAATTACTTACACCTGTCCCACACAAATTACATTTCCATTCATCATCATTACACTATTCCTGATTTACATACACCTAATTTTCAGCCAATATACCGTAATTTGGTCCCTGAAATATATTTTGATTTTTATCGATCCTAACTTCCCTATAATAATTTTAGAATATAAAACTAAATAACAATGAATCTGTATTTTTTTTAAACCAAACGTTATCTGTTTATTTCTATTTTCTTCATTAATTTTCACAAACATGAACTGACTGCAAATTTTTGGGCCTCCAAGCAATCCAAACCCCCAAATGGTCTGGCCATGCTTATAGTCAGGGCTGATCTAACAACACTGCTAAACACTACTCGTGGCTCCCTCTCGATTAAATAAGTATCTAAAAAAATTTACTCTAAAAACAAATCTTGCATTTTAAGATATTTCATCATTGATGAGATTGATTATGATATGATTACATTACTAAATAGCAATTTCTATTTTATTAAAACAAATTGTAAAAATAAAGATTAATAATGTTTTATTTTTGGTGCTGAGTTTTGGACTATAATTTATTTTTAGGTTTTATCAAGTTTTACAAAATAGTCTAACAAAAAATTTTGTATTATACATCTGTGGAAAAAATGTTTGATGGAAATTCTTGGTGGGTCCATGTGCTTAGTTTGCTTGTGTGAAAGTGCAGCCCAGGGCTACAGCCAGCCCTAGCAAAACACACTCTGAAAATAAAAAATCAACCTGTCCATCCTTGAATAATCTGTATATAATTACATCTTGTAGCAGTTGTGAATGTTAATATAAATTAGCTTTAAGGTTAATCTAGCTTAATAATGAAAAAAAAAAAATGTATTTTTCATGAGACCTGAAAAACGAGACAAAGTTTTGGGAAAGAAGGGGGGGGAAAAAAGAAAAAAAAGAAGTTAAATGAGGTGGTGGTCTCTGTCACCCTGGTCATTATTGTTTGTTCAGTTCTTTTTGGCCTCAGCACTGATCTGATAAGATATCTATGTGATATGAATGTATGAAACTAATTTGTATTTGAATATCACAGAGCCTTCAAAGAAGCAAAAAATCCTTCCCCTGCTAGTATATAGCATGAGGTGAGTTTTTATGGCTCAGCATTTACCTGTACCAGTAAAACTGAAAGTTCAAAGGTTGCCATCTAGAATATAACTTCCACAATCACTGACCTGTGATGGATTGATATATTTTTTATGCTCCATTTATCTCTAATTTGACAACAAAGGTTTTTCATGGACTTTTGGGCCATTTCTTCATATGCTTCATACTCCAGTTGAACCACCTACCAAAATAAAAATAATAATAATAAAAATTAACTTTTTTTCACAGAAAGTATGCATTTATTTACATAATGAATAGAACAATGATGGTGGTAGTGATGATGTAGCATGACTAAATCAAACAGGCAGGCAGTACCACCAAAAATGAATTATTTAAAAAGGAATAATCCTGAAATATTTTGATCATGTAGTTATTACCTTGAAATCATAGAAATGTATCAGAATCACTCAAAACATACATTACTGAAGAATTGAAGGATGTAACAAAGCATTAGAACTCGAGTGACAGTTCACAGCCTACTAGAATGTAGTGATCAGAGAATATAGAGAAATATTGTCTACTCCTAATAATGTAAACGCTATGTAAAAGCAGAATTTATTTAAAGAAAGTCAAAGACATGCCTGGAAAATCACACTGGGATCTCATTACACTTTGGCCCCTCTCGTGGGTTTGCCAAGTCCCTGCCGGCTGTGTGCTGACTCAGCACTTTGTCATCATGCCTTCAGCTTTGACAGACTCAGAATTGAAGAAAAAGGTTTTTGATACAAAAGTATTGCCAGATTCTACTTTATCTTTTCCAGGTATTTTTCTTCAATGGGTAGATGGTGACTTCCTCTCTTGTTCTATTATTGAATATAACATGACTGTACAATGTATATATAGTGATATTCTGATAGTTATTTGTGGATAGTATTAGATAGATACAGTGATTGATATTTCATTTCTTGAATTTTAATTTTTAAAAACATGAAATTTTACATGTCAACATGACAAAGTATCAGTGAAATTAAAGAAAATTTCAAAATCAGTTTAAAATTGAGAAATCAAGATATAAATTCCAGACATCAAAGTTTATTTTAAATAGTAAATGCTGGTCTTGAAATTCTGTTGTGTTAATTTATAATGTACATTTTTGTTTAAAGTTTCTTACAGTTCCCACAAATCTTTAATTTTCATTTTTGGATCTTGTATTCATATTTTAAAACCATGATCCTTTCTGTCATTGTATTTACTCAAGTTGATCGTTTTGTAAAAACACAAATTAACTTTTAAAAACAAAGCAAAAAAGATGAAGCTACTCCAATAAAAAAAGACAGATGTTATAATTACATAAAAAATTAGTGAAGATTTAAAAAAAAATTATAACAAATTTTTATTATCTCAAATGAAACTGAAAATGCTTGGTATCCAATTCATATTTGAGGTGGCTTAAATATCCAATTCTCTAAAGGATGAAAACTTATGGCAGTAAATAAGTTCTAATGACATCATTTTACAGGACAACTGTACCTTGCGATCTTCAAATGTATCACGTGTTGTACCAACAAATAAAGAAATAGCACCACAACTTGGTGATGCTATTTCATTGGTTATGTCTTCAACATTCAATTTTGATGTTACTAATCTTACAATATCCATTTCCCCCTGCAAAAGTGTATTTGATTGTATATACTACCTTTGTTAACTACAGTTACATGTTATTATTATAAAGTACAATTCTTATGATATGAATGCACAGGAAAATAAATTGCAAAATTTCATAAGGCAAATAAACAAAAATAATAAATTATTATATTAGTTTGTAGTTGAGAATTGCAACTTAACCAGTAACTGATGTATTTATTTTTGTAATATTACCGTTAACGTTTATGGAATTGTCACACCGTGTAATCGTCGCAAGATTATTGTAAAAATGACTTAATTGAAGTCACAGCTCGTATTTTGCTGGTATATACTTTGTTTCTCAGAAATTTGGCGTGATACCAGCTCGTTACCTCTCGAATGTAATCGCAAAACCCCAACCCACGGTGTAAATAAGAAACAGTTGAATGATAACTATACTAAGATGTATTTAACCATGCACTTGACATTCGTGGTTTTATCCACTCGGGAGCTTGAACGTCCCCATAGTAATGTCGCAGTAGCGACATATAAGCTTTTGATTGGATGGAATCGCAACAGTTGATTTACGTCAAGTAGACGACTAAATAAATCGTACTTCATACGCACGTCTTTTGTCACCGGTGTATCTTTGTTTTCAATACACACGTCTCCGCCACGAGTTCCACGAGGGTGAAGTTTGATGTTTGTAAATATAGTGGTCATCTTTCGTGGAGTGGATATGATACGATGGGTTGTGAGTGTATTATCGTCGAGTCGGACGTACATTAATATGCAGAAAAATAATTTGTAGTATGAAGTCCTGTGAGTCATGAGAACGAATATATTTATGTACCCTTTGGAAGATCTTTTTAATAGTAGGGCACAATGGGAAGTTTCCAACCCTAAGTATTTCGTTTTACCGGGACTTAATACAATGAAAAGGAAAGAAATCAAATATTTTCCGTAACTTGTTTACGTCTCAATATTATCAGTGGTTTCTTTAAAAGAAACTTCCAGAAGAAAGCGGAATAGGTGATATAATAAGGTATAAAATCCAGAAGATTTTCGAATGTTTCCCTTGATAATTGATTGGGATTTGAAGCTTTTCTAATTGCCATTTCTCTTCTATTTCAAGGTTTTGGTGGAACCAGCGGTCTCCAAGCGTATGACAATTGTAGTTTAGCAAGTTAACAATGTATGCAAGTTTATCATTTGGAGAAATCACTTTCTATTGTGTGACATGGGTTTCTGCAGTATTTTATTCTGTTTACCAACTCTGGGATGCCACACACTGTAAGTACTCTTTTTTTGAAGTGCATGTTTCATTTGATTGGGGAGAAACACAATTACCATTCTGTGTATTACAATCTTTGCTATTTAAATGGAAATTCAGGTTATTAATAAAAAAATGATTAGTGATGATTTTTTAAATAGTATTTTGACATGGCAGAACAATGTAATTTGTTTTTAGTAATTTGTTGAAATTATGTTGCTCATCAGCTTTCTAGTAAATATTACAATAAAGGTAGTAATGATTTCAAGATTTTTAAAAGGAACTCACAGTTACAAAATTGATTGTAGAAATTGAAAATCTTTTACCATAATGTAGTTTGAGTTTTAATTAAAAATATTATGAGGAAAGATCTAATTTAGATGAACAAAAACTATTTATTTGCATTATGGACTGGCATTTTGTTATTTCCTTCTCATAACAATTAACTGTTGTGTAATTGATGCACAATTATAGGAAATTGTAAAACTCTTTCGTTTAAGAAAGAAGGGACCTAAGTGTTACAGGAGGTTGGGGAGGGGGGATTGAAATTTCCATTATGTCTGTGGGCATTGCCCTTGTGTACACGTACCCAATGGTGTCCTGGCAGTACATGGTGAGCAGGGAGGGGGGCTGAGGTAATATGTCTCACTGTGACTAAATTGGGGCCCCCATTTTATCTCCATTCTCACTTATAAATATGAATGTCACATTTTCTGTTCTGAGAAATTTCACTTTTACAGTTATAAACTCATTTCTTAGTGGTAGTTAATAATATATGAAACAATCCTTGCTGTGAAAAACAACATTATCTGTCCTAACAGTGCTTTTATTATGTTTTATAATTTTCTTTGTCTCTACAGTGGAGAGTAATAACAATAAGCCTTTAATGAATGCAAACAACTCAAAATATTGATGAATGTCCACCTGATTCTTATTTCTTAAATTTAAAAAAAAAACTTTAGGCTCACAGAATAGAAATGTATATTTAAGAAATGCAAAAAGTATCTATAGAGTAATGAAAATTTCATTTATTTTTATGTGATTGTATCTTTCTTTTCAAATTATTCAGTTGATTGTTTCTTCTTTACGCTTTTAGTTAATTCTCGACAGCTCTCTAGATCCATTTTACTCACTTACACTTAATTACTTGCAATATAGAGCCCAAAGAAAATTAATAATCAGTTTATGTATGAATAAACACTAAATTCTTAGAAAAGAATGCATGGACACTCAACAGTTTTTCATCAATTTTTTCTTCTGTTCCTTTTTCTTTCTTTTAATTTATTAATTTTTTTAGTTTGGTTTATTTGAATGTTCATTTATAAGAAATTTTATTTTCCTGGTTTTCCATATCATGGTAACTCAGTTGTTCATAAATTTCATACCATTCTGAAGGAAATGAAAACATTGAATTTGAGACAACTCTCCAAAAAAAATCATTCACACCATTATCTCGCTTCGCTATTATTTTCATTCCTCAAACTAGTCTAAAGTCCAGAAAAAATTCAGTTCTAATTTGTCATTTAAAATATTTTGAATTACCAATGTTGAGAGTTGCTGTGAATTTGACATGGTCGCTAACAGCATGTACACTACTTACAAAGAAAGACATTTTGAACGTAATTGACAATGTCTGCAGGTACGAATATCTAATTCCTGGGAAAAATTGCAAACGCATGCAAACAAATAGAAGCACACTTTAACTTTTGCTAACTACGAACACCCAAGATACGTTAATAGCCTGACAAAGATAATAAATGCAGAAGATCGTGCAACATACATCCATAGAATATAGCAGTAACATGATGAGAACATATTGGATATTTCCTTAGTATCAAAAGTGTTAATGAGATCTGATAACACTGAACAACAAATTTCAACTTTTTTTTTTCTGGTCCTTTGATGAAACTAAGTGATTTTTACATAAAATGGAATGCTGAATCTTCTCACATGTTAAGTTTTTCATATCACTTATAGTTTTTGAAAAAAACGACAACTGTATGGGTTATATATTTTGGTGAATCTTGGTAACATTACATATTACAGATACTAATTGGACTGCTAGGATCTTTTGGTTGTCGTATGATGAAGATGGTATTGCTGACCAAAATTAATCTGCTAACATTGCTGAGTTCCATCTTCCCTGATAATGTTTTTCAATAGCCAAAATGTCCTTATGGAACTGCTTTCTATTTACCCACTTCATCACTGACATCTCCCAAATTTTTCAGAAAAAATCCAATTAGGCATGCAAGAAATAAAACTTCAATGACTTGTTATATACCATCTCATAGTAGGCTACTAACAGTTTTTTCGTGTAATTTTTTTAATGTCTTCGGTTTTCCTGTGCTCTAAGAAGTGTTTAGAGACATCATTGTAGCTTTCATTGGCATGTTTTCCTTTTCCTTCTATGGCCTCATCCACTTTATTATCTCTTACGAATAGCCGTTTCTGGGAACAAATAAAAATACCCTCTTTGGATTTTGCCGCAGATTTTGAAACATCAAAGTTCTTTAGCCCCAGCTTGTTATGCAAGGGTAGACTGTAAATATTACTAGATTTTTATGAAGCACATTTTTGTGCCCCTCTATGGGACATCTTACATACCATTCACGGGCAGCATAATGTTTGAATCTTGCTTGACTGTCTCATTCACTAAGAAAACAGCAGTATTTTATGTAACCCAGATGCATTTCCAAAAGAATAGTGATCACTTTTAGATCTTCTATACCTTCCACATGAAAGAATTGTTGATACTATTTAATAGGTATTTCTCGATTTCATAGACTTCCTTTAAGTGCACAGAATTGGCAATTAGAATCAAAGGGAGTTTTGTTAACATTATGTTGCAAAATGGCTTTCAAACTTACTCTTTGACGCATATATGAGGAATCGCGATTCATTCACATGTTGCATTAATCCAAGGCTTAGCAGTAAGCTGTTTATGTTATTGCAGTATGAAGGCCTTTCTTTGGTTGAAAAATACTGATTGTACTTGTTTTCATGATGTCGAAAGATGCTAACACTTCTATTTGGAGTAATTCTTGTTATCCAAACAACTCAGCTTACGTTTTAAATTGATTTAGATCTCCGATCAGGTAATTTAATTTCTCTTGAGACACCATAAGGGATTTGTTGACAATATTAGAAACATGGAAATCATCATTGTCTTCTGAATGTTGTTATTGTTCTTCATCATCATCATCATCATCATCATCATCATCATGCTCTAAAACAGTTGTACAACTGGTGGTCCGCTGTGATGATTATTGTAGCCTGCCAAAGGTTATTAAAGTAAAATATTCTCCCAATGTGTTCTGCCACGTTACGCATGGCATGGCCTGATATCACACATGGTTCCTCCCCCTCCCCCTTTCCAGTTTCCGAGCAGCCAAGCAAACTGCTGAGTTGAACAGTTTGGGGAAGTCAGATATGGATCGCCAGAACAATGAAAATATGATTCGTAACCGTATTACAGGTGTCAGTTGTGGCTCTTGAGGCCTTGCAAGTAGGACACCCTTGCTGATTGACGTATTCTGAGCTCTCAAGATAAGTAATAACTGGACTACAAGCAACTGGCCTTATTGCCAAAGGTAAATTGGAATACACAGCAGTTCCTTTCTTGCACTTTGCAGAGAAATCCACTACCAGTGACACAAAAGTAGCAGTCATTTAAGTGATCTTGTTGCTTATCCAAATCATTGGTTCAGTAAAAGGCAAGTTTGTAAGACATTGATGTATTCTTTATGCACAATACACATCAAATAGGTCTGTTTATTGTTCGCATTGCAAACACTTCATATAAAATATAGGTGCTGTGCTGCTTTTATGAGAGAGGTGATGCTGATCTCCTTTGATGCTTTCCAATAAACTCTCCATATATGTAACAGAAATTGTCTGGCACATTGAAACATTTATGTGACATTTTTATACATCCTGGATTGGGACAAATTTGGTATTTTGAAAAATAACACATCTCACTGGGTTTATTTGGGTTTTCATCATCATCATCATCATCATTGTGATCTGGGCTGTCCGGGTGACGCCGCGTTCAAGGCTGTGTTGCCGACGTGATCAGACCAGATCATGCACATGACTCTGGCCGCGGAAGCCTACGACTTCATCTTCATCATTATCATTCTCAGTTTAGGAGTGATGCTTTTGTCCTGTTGGTGGGTAGTAAAGCAGTATTCCTTCATGTGGTGAAGTGTTTCTACTGATGCCATCTTCTTGTTGGTCTACCTCTATCCCTCTTGTCGTTAATGGTAGTTGTCAGTTGTCTATTCACGTAATTGCAATCACTTTAAAATTAATTTCTATTGGTTTGAAGATGTATTTATATTAATTTATTTAAATATAAAACTGTAACATATTCTTACATTAATTAGTTACAAACGGAAGATTTATTTATTAGTTGGTAGTAAGATTTACTCTTGTCTCCCCTGCTTGTTATATTAATAAAATAATTAAATTGCTTAAATGTATAATGTATATATATTGGCGGTAAACATAGAAGCTGACATATGATAGGTAATATTCATGGTCCATTCAAAATATTCACAATATTTTGGCGGGTTAAAGAAGGGATACAAGTGAATTGGTTAGAACATGATTTTTATGTTTCATGTCTTCATAGTGACATAGAAAAGGACAGTATTTTGATTAAAATGGAATTTTCAGAATGAACTATATTTAATAAATGCTAACTGAAATCAATATAAATAGTAATTGGGAATTTCGCAAATGAAAGAGTTGGTAATTCATCCATCTGTATGTTCAGAGCAAAATGACCCTAGCGTTGTCAAAACCAAAGATTCCCATCATCAATGTTTAATGTGAATCAAAAACCAGTTTTCCACAGCAAAATTATCGCAAATAAAATGTTCAAACATGAAAAATTATTTTGCAGATTTTGTTCATTGTTGATAAGTATTTCAAATTGCCTAGCAAGTTCTGCAGCAATCAAATGAGTCTTTCAACTTACAGTTTGGTTAGATCTGATTGTTGAACAATTAGGGGGAAGAAAGGGCAGAGAAATTGGCCAAAGTCTATAAACACCATAGAAAAACTTTCACAGATATGTAATAAAGTTGTAATTTTCATTAAAAGTATTAGATTTTTATGATGTTCTTTAAGAGACCATGTTGTAGATCATAAACCTTATAATTTGTCTTCAAAATATGTATAATATACCTTTGTAAAATGTTAAATTTTCATGTAACAATATTTTGGAAATTAGATTGTAACATTTATGTTTGTAAAAGATATTTTTCAATTTTCAAGTAGGTTTTTATTGTTGTTTTAATATTTAAAAAAACTTGTAGAATTTTGGGTTGGGGAAAATTGAACCAACACTGTATACAACTGACTATTCTGACTAAATTCTCACTCAGATGAAATTTACAATTCGAACACAACTAAAAGACATTGACTGTAAAGCACGCATAAACAATTTACTTTCCAAGAAGAAAAGACCTTTAACAATGAGGCACAATGGTTACAGAGTTGTTTTCTTTGTTAAGATGTGTTCAATAATTTATTTATAGAAGGAAACATGAATTTATGAATGGATGGAAGAACTAGTCGTATTTACAAAGCATCTTATACTCAACCAAGAATTCCAAATATTCCTGCCAAACCTTGCATAACAGCTCAAAACTGATTAGAGTTCTGGATTCGGCTTAAAAAAGGCTTCTAGATTTCGTTTCCTGTTTGTGAGAAGCAAAAATTTTAAGACTTGTGAAATTGTTAATTTAAATTCATGTTATATATTTATTTACTTGAATATTCATAGAAACTAGAAAAGAATATGGATTTGATACAATAAATGAAGACAGATCTACTAGAATATTAATTCTCTGTTAGCCACTACTTTGAAACATGTAAAATGTATTGGAATGTTTTGAATTTGACATAAAAAATAGTGACAATTATGAGTTTCACTTCACAACAATAATTTGTTTTACCGATTCATTGCTTCATCAAAATATTTTGGGTGTGACTGGAGACAGTACTTTAACTTTCTGTAACTATTAAATAATTACATATTGACAAAAAAATTAGCCATCAAAACTGAAAATAGCAGTTCAACAGAGACACATCTGGTCATAATGTACCTAAATAATACTGTGCGTAATTGAAACAGTTAAATTAGAGAGGCACTTGCACTTGTAATAAACCCAAAGAAGTTCGAAGTATTAATGGAAAAGCCTCATTAAAGGAAGATATAAATTAGTCACAACTAAAATCTTGCTATTTTGGATCCATGGGGGAAAAAAACATAAGACAAAAAGAAAACATTGCATCTTATTATATTTGTAAACTGTTTGCTTTCTTTATGTGGCAGTCATGAACCCTAACCGATACAAGGCCTATGAGGTAGGCTGGTCTATCTCTGTGAAGGATGACTCGAGTGACTACGAATGGCAGATGTGGGTTCCTTTCCTTCTCTTCAAAGTTCCATGGCTTGTGTCTCATTTCGTAGGCGCAGAGCTTGTGCGGCGCAACAACATTGAGGTAACCACTCTTTGTTTTCTGAATATGTGTTTTTCTTCCCAGTTGCTTTTAGAAAATAAGAAATTGTAAGTTAGTTGTGTTTTTGTCAAATAAAAGTTAATTTTGTTTATTTCCCCTCATTTAACTCAGACACTTTTTGTGTTAATGATTGTTGAAAGTATTTTTACAGCAGTTTTTATATGTGCGATAATTTGCTTGTGGACTTTTTTCTCTTCACCATGCTTATTATACAGCTAAGGTATACTTTATTTTATGACATGTGTTTATTTTAAATTTAATGTCACATTCTCTTCTGTATTTATAATGTTTTGTATCTTGCTTTATGGCTGTACATCTCAATTGCATTATTGGCTGAGTTGTAATAGGTATATTGAAGTAAGAATTTGTTTTGTGAGTAGTTTATAAAAATGTTTAAAATCAAAATTCTTTTCAATTAAAAACAAATTGTTATTTGTATTCTGGATCTTTCCATAAAGAAATTACTGTTGTAATTAAAATCGTAGAAAGTTGTAATTGTTAGTGAAAACTCAAGTGAATTGGATAGTACAAAATGTTGCAAAAAATATCTCAACAGTATAGTAACTCATACTTACTATGTGGGATTGGAATATTTTGAGAACAGCAAAATTTAATGTCTTCAAAATGTTAAATGACTTCATTTTCACCGATGACAGTCTCATTCTATTGATTCATGTTACTTTATTAGATTTGATGATCATTTAATCATTTCATTATTAGTAAATTTACTTATATCTGGCAAATTGCACTTACTTGCATGGATTTTTTTCCAAACTAAAAATGTTCATTCTCCTTGTTTATAACTAAATTCACAAGAGTGATGTACAGAATTAATATTAACTAAAACACAAGAATTCTAACCCTATTTCTTTTTATATTTTTGTAATTTTTAAATGGTTATTTCCAAATATTTGGTAAAATTTGACGATAACTCAATTATGTAATTAAGTCTTATTTACTTAGGAAATTCTGAATTTCCAATTCAAACGTCAAAATGTTTTTGTTTAAATAATGTTATGAAAATTTAGAAATTGGAGTGTACAGTGTTTTAAAGTAGTTATATTTTTTATTGTTCTTAAAGTTTATGAATGGTTGTAAGAAAAACTCATTTAGGTGATGAATGTATTTCTCTTGACTTTCATAACTTCCTATATTTAATTATTTCTTGTTGGTTGTTATATTTTATTTTATTTTCTTCTTTTCTCTATTTCTCCCATTCCTGATGTAAATGCTCTTGTTATTCTTAGCTACTGCCCGTTTGGTACGTGCTGATCAGTGCTATCTTCCTACTGAACTATGTGGGTGCATTTGCAACTGCAGTGCTTGTGATGAAGTGTGCTCTGATATACGCCCTCCACTTGTTGCGCAGCCGCATCCTCCTGTGGGCAGTATGTGTGACATTAATTATTGGATACAACATGGGTGACATAGTGGTGAGTCCTGGACACATATCACACATGTGCATATTGGGAATTTTGATTTTGAAAAACCTACCCCTCTAAAACATTCAAAATTGAATATTATTACTTGTGAAATGAAAGACTCTAATTCGTGGACAAACCGAGGTTATTATCATTGAAAATTTGAATTGTACATAAAGTGGTACATAACGTTTAGTTCTATAACTTCATGAATCATATGTGAAATTTTATTAAACTGTACAAACTGTTTTGTGGAATTGAAGATATTTTGTGAATATTCAAAAATGCCTTTCAATAAATACCTTGTGTATTTGGGCATATATTTAATATACATCCTTTTCATAGTGATGCAGTTATTTTCTTGCTGTAACTGAGCATAAAGTATGAAAGTGGAGTGGCTCTGGTGAAAATATATCAATTGAGGTATTATTGTTAGCATCTTTTAAATGGAAATGATGAAATAAATTATGTTCAGCACCTTTGGTTCTTGGTAATGATGATAATTATTTTTGTGTGGAACACCATGAGTGTCTCTGGCACATGTACTTTGGGGAGAACATACAAAGAAATTAAATAAATGTTCATTCTTCCATGGAATTTTAGTTTGTCTCAATTTGTTTAATTGATTTAACTGGGTTAGTTAGGGAAGTTAATAAGATGCATGTGCTAGATTAAAAAAAGTCAACTTATGTCACAGCTACTCAAAAAATCAGTAATTTACCCTGACAATAAACGTAAAAAATGTGTTCAACATGACAATAGTCGCACTTATAATATCAAAAGCAATACTGAGTTATCTTAACCTATGTCACATATTGACAATTTAGTATTAATGATTGCCCTCCAACAGCTAGTCTGATGATTGCCCTCCCTAGCTGCTAACTTGTCTAGGTTGAGAAAGCCCAGTAAATTTTGATGTGGGTGGCAGATAATAGTTTATTCCTTCTTTCTGGGTCATGTTATTTCTTAAGAATGTTTTCAATCTTCAAAGGGAGCTAAAGCTCAGTATGTATTGCCACATGATGATAATTATTGTTATGTTGCTACAGGATGTCTTATCACTTGAGAGGAGGGAACACTACATGATGAGTGTGTGTGGATCCTGGGTTCTTCTACGCTGCATAGGATTTTGTCTGGATGCCCTGAAAGCATCACCCTCCACGCCCCGCCCACCTATGCCCGTTGAATTTGTGCTCTACCTCTCTTACTGCCTCTATCTTCCAGTGTTGTTCCTGGGACCCGTTATTATGTACAGCGACTTCCAGGTTGGGGTGAGTACTATTTTTACTGTGCTACTTAGGTCGTGCTTCATGAAATTTATTATCTCACTTGTGGAAATAATGTACAGTGAGTTTTGAGCTGGTATTGAGTATTATTTTATCATGACAATCAACGAAGTTTAGAAATAAGAAAGAATACTAAAGGCAAGATGTTCATGTACTGAGTGACACATTAAAAATGTAAATAAAACAAATTCTTTGTAACAGCACTACTGCCCAGCATTTTGCCTTGGCATAACATCTCCATACTTGCAGCACTTTTTAGTTGATAGGGATCGACCATGTGAGAATGCAAACAAGTTGGGAAGAAAGGTTCTCACTTGAATCGTGACCTGTATTTAAAGTACTGCTATGCCATTCAGAAATTCCAGAAATTAATTCCTGAAAAACCCATCAAAACCAGGCCTCTTTCTAGAATTATTATTCGCATGGTGGAAAGCCTTTTCCCAGATCTTAGCTAGGTTTCAATCCAATACCATTAGGTCTTGAAGTTTGACCGTCACTTACAAACTCCCATCAAGACATGTATGTAATTTCACACAAATGTTAATACTTTAAGAGAGATCCCTTTAATTTAAATTGGGAAAGTGAAGAGGGGGTTGATACGTCTCCTACTGGCCATTGAAATAATGGATACAAGGTGCGCGGAGGGTTGAAGGCAAGGTAGAGGTTTTGGGATTTATCATCTGCCTAGTGCAGTATCAAATTCAGTGAAAAACAGTTGCTTCCGCAGTGTTGATTTTATAGGAAAGTATTTTTTGAACATAATTAAAAATAATGTAAGGTCAAAACTTTTTCTTTATCTAAGGAATTCTTGTCTAGATGACTTGTTCACTGGTGGGAGAGGGGTCCATGACTGCAGAAAGGGAAGGCCGGGGAGAAGGAATGACAGTAATGCATTTACGTAGCTACAGTGTTCGAGGAGAGGATCTGCAAAATTTAAAACATACAAATTTACAAATATCTATTATTTATTATTCTAATTTGTTATGTTTTATTATAATTAAGGTTTTCTAATTCAACTGCATTGTAGGGTCAATAAACCTCTTAAACCAATACTCATGACAATAGTAAGAAATACACTATAATAATGAATATTAAAGTAATATAGCTAGCTAAGAAGACGAGGAATTCGTAGATAAATTTCCTAAGAAAATTATTGCATTTTATTTGGTGCATTTATGCACCACTGAACTGTAAGTGGGTTAATTGAGAGGGGGTATAAGTAATACAAGTTCCTACAAAGATTTGGGGATGGCAGGTGAAAGGCTAAATTTTGCAAAGGTGATTTTTTAATGGCTTCTGCATGGGTTTTGCCATTCTCCTGCAATTTGAGATGTATCTTGGTTGCAAACAAGTGGTGACGTCATTTCTAATGAAAAATTGAATTTGTAAAAATAGTTGCTGAAGGATGTTCTATTTACATTTTATTGTGTATTTGTATTTACTAATTTAATCTCTTAAATTGTCTCTTAAAACTCATAAATCCACAGTTAGAGGTATGACCAAATAATTGTTTCCATCTGCATAAGTTGATTTGTTTGTGCAGCTGAAGCAAACCTACAAGAGATGGACATTTCCAAGAATATTATGTGCTCTTCTAAGCCTCTTGAGATATGTCTTTTGGGGGCTGGTCATTGATGCTATACTTCATTACCTGTACTTCAACTCTTTCGTCATGATTCCTAAGGTTTGTATTAAAATTTACTTCAGCATCTGGTACTTCCAAGTAAAAAAGTCCATAGAGTGAGGAATGTGTAAAATAATCAGTAGAATCTTGTTAGCGTGTTCTCCATTACCACATTTACCTTCATTGCACATCTGTATTTTACTATCTGTATAAGAACATGTATATATAAAGTAATTTACGTAGTGTTGAGAGACTTATGTAATGCTGCTGAAAATCAATTTCAAGATTTCAATGGAAATCGTTTTCGGATCCTCTGGTACTGAAAAAGTGTAAATGTGTTAGGACATTTTGTCTTGTGGAAGGTCATAGTATTACAACCAAAACATTGGCAACTATGCTTAGGACACAGCGTCTCCCAAGCAGGCTAGTAGAATATAACTCCAGCCGTAGAACATATCTTCACTTTCATTTTAAAAATTCCCTTTTTCCAGAGAAAAATTTCGTTTTTCATTATCAAAGTAAAAGTGGTCTTAGACTAGGATTTAAATCCTGTTGTTTGCAAACTACTTGTACACTACAACCTATAGTTAGTGCTCATTCAAGAAATATTCTGATAAGGCAAGATACATGTGATTTTTAAGACACACATTCTGCTCTTATTTATTCCCAAACTGCCAGCTACCCTAGTGGTAGGGAAGGTGGGAATACTTTGTAAAATGTAGGTGCTTAACTCTTGTCCGAATTTCGTCTGAGTGTTTGAATTGGAACCCTGATTCTGAGAAGTAGAAAGTAAACACACTGATTATTGCATACTGGGTTCTTCCATTAGGGCCTGGCTAAATTAGTTAATAATTCTGAATAATTTTCTCAAAAAGGGATTTTATGAATACAATAATGAAAGTGTTCATATAAAAGATTCAAGAACAGTATATTACATCTGTTGAGATTTGATAAAACTAGGATATGATTATATTGGATAACAAATATTAATTTATTATTTGTGATTCTGTTCTCTCTATGTGTAACTGATGCCAGCAAGTTTTTATGCTTGTTCCTTGTTTGATTTTTTTTAAATCCAGAGTTTGGTTCAAATAACCAGCAAAAATTCTGTACTAGCTTCCTAGGGAGCTAGAAGGAATCCCACTACCTTAGAGAAGGCATGATAGAATCTTCATAGCATAGAAAAGGAATTTTGACACCTTATATTTAGAAAACACTCACCGACTTTTTGTTCCACAAAATGAAGACTTGTATGCTGACTTGAAATGTAAATGGTTTTGTCAAATACATTTTAATATCGATAACCACTTGTGTATTATAAACAGAGACAGTGTTTCATTCTTGTGGGTTGTAGCCTTATACCACTTAAAATGCTGATAACTGTACTTAGACTCATCATCTGGTCTCAACAAACATCCTAACAAGATCCAGTGTCAATCAGATTGAGTTTTTAGCTGTAGAACTAGGTTAATTATGTTTTTTGAATATTCAAACCAACAGATAAGTTTAGGTTGTATGTTAAACCATAATTGTTACAGACAGTGAGGATGGGTAACTGGGCACTTTATGGCTATGGTTATGCCCTGGGCCAGTTCTTCATGGTCAAGTATGTTGTTGTCTATGGCATCGGTTCCTCTGTGGCACGGTTGGAGCAAATTGATGCTCCACATAATCCCAAATGCATTGCTCGGGTGCACCTGTACTCCTACATGTGGAGGCACTTCGATCAAGGACTCTACCTCTTCCTACTCAAGTAAATATCCCGTCTTTTCATGTAGTTAGTGTGTATTTAAGGATTGATGTAGTCAGTAAGCCCTGGATTCTTAGGCTTGAACACATTCTGATAATAACCTAATATCAATGGTCAAATATTTATTTATATATCAACAAAAAGCACAGGTAGATTCTAGTGGATCTAAAAAGACACCTTTTGTATTATAGGACTTCAAAAATCTTTGTCGGTCACATGTGTCTTTAACCCCTGATAACATGCAACCCTACAGATTTGTTAAGTGCACTTGTGTTACATGTATGTTAAAAAATTTAATATCCTTAGCAACAAAAATTCACAACCATCAATTCATCACAAGTCAAATGTTTGTTGAGAAAAAAATATAACAATGTTCAAAACAAACAGGATGTTTTGGGATAGTTATTGTTAATTGTAATTTGATTAATAGTATAATTAGAAAACTATACATTTGGTAAAAAACCTCATTTTCCTAATATAAATCATTCCACCATGAAACGCTTCTCCAGTAATCATATTTACTGCTGATGTGAAAGTGTTGCTACTGGAAATCAAAGCGCCAACTTCCTCATCGAACGTCATATCTGTATGCCTCTTTAAGTTCAGAAGAATTATTTGCATCCATCTTTCTTGAACTACGATAAACAAATATTGTTGAAATAGATATAATGCAAGCAACACCCCAAAAAATCATACGTATATAATGAGAGTATTTGGTGACCAATAAAATGCTGGACATACCACGAAATGTTGCAGTGTTGTTACTTCTTCGTCCAAATTAAAAATTAAATATCTCAGCTTAGCTACGCTCTGCCTTAATTTTTAGCTTTTGACCTCTGCAGTAATGACACTCATAACATTACTAGGTATGTTAATAGCTATAAATTTACTTTTGGTTTCTTAAGGATTCCTAGTGTTAAATTGAATATGTGAATGTATTTTGTTCTTAGTAGCCAGAAGTTAGAAGAACTGCCTTGGAATCAATAAGAAATGCTCAGGGCAAAAAAATAAATAAAATTAAGAAAGAGAAAGAGAGAAAAGAAAAATCATATAGCGGATAATACACCTTCGGGAGAAATTAAGGGTTATGAATAACACTATACTCTATTGTTGACTTATCGTACCAATTTGACCATTGTGTTGAGGAGATGGATCCCTACTCCCCTAAAGAGATGCAAGCTCTGAGATGAGCCTGTCTACCCCAGGCAGGAATGTACACTCAGGGCTGAGTTGAAACCCAACAGCTTTCTCAGTGTGGGGTTCAGAGAGTAATCCAGGCTCTCCAGTGGGTAGACCGACCCTCAGAGTAGGGATGTGATATCATTGTCAATGATTTTAGAAAAATATCGATGTATTTAACATTATTTAATTGAAGCTGATGATTTTTATAACATGATGTTTGTGCTCAGTGTTTTTGTATAGTCAGTTTTGCATTTCACTTTTGATTGAAAATGAATAAAATCTTAATAACAAAAGAACTATAATAATTTTCAGATATCCATAAATTATTATTATTAAAGCTGTAGCATCCCTATCTGGGGCAAAAGTCTCCCATTCTCTGGTGAGGTAGCTCACAGAGCTTAGTTAAATTGTTTTTCCTATTTATCAATTCTGTTATAAATGTATCCATAAATTGATCTTGTGTATCAAATGATGAGAAAAAAAATAGTCTAATTTTCTTTGTTAAATGTCCATTATTTTGTATTATTCAATCAGATTATGAAACTTTTATGAATAGTTTTGTTCATTTTGTCACTTGATTTGTTGCTTAAATCTCAATAATTATCAAAAACATCACCACTGTGAAATTACCCTCCTCAACATGAACAATGTTGAAGGTATTAAACCAATTTTAACAACATAAATAGGTGATATACTATTATTGACAATGATGTTTTCATTTTAAGCATTGATGTTTTGAAACATTGATTGTTATGAAACAAAAAAAGGGGGGGGGGGATGCTATTATCTGGTTTCAAATTGGAAAGTCTTAAGGTGATTAAACAAAAACATGTGGGGCAGTATTCAAATTTATGTTTTTGAAAAATGTTGTTATGTAATGCTCAGTCTTGTGATTTTGTTTAGTAAATTACCTTATGTGTTTTGACATACCTTGAAAGTATTTATTGCAGACTATAAAAATTATATATCAACAAAATTTTAAAAAAACGTAATTTTGCTGATGTTTGTGCTTTTTTAGTACATATTTCAAAAGAATTTTATGGTATCATCCAAGGTCATCAATTTCAACTCTTCTTTTATAGATACATCTATCTTCCATGTTGTGGACACAGTAAACACTACTGGAATAAACTGTTTGCTTCCTTGATGTGCTTTGTGTTTGTGTACGTGTGGCACACTACACACTTTGCCATCCTTATTTGGACACTGCTGAATTTCATAGGCGTGACATTGGAGGGCTTGGGAAAACAGATATCAGCTTCTGCAGCCTACAGGAAGTGGGAGGTAATTTAACAATTATGACTCTGTTTTGTCTGGCAACTTTTACTTCTTACAAACTATTTCTATGTACTTCTAGAGATTTACCAAGGGTCTGAAATTGAATATTCCAAATTTGAAATTATAAAATACATATCTCTAATTCTAGAATAGATTTTAAAAAATAATAGTAGTACTATCGAGAACATTTCAAAAATCAGGGAATTAGATATCAGGAAACAAGATCTGTTCAAGCCTACATCCATAATTATTAGCCAATTTTGAAATGTTTCTGAAAGAAGTGGCTCAGGTATCAATTGATGTCAAGAGACTTAAAATCTTCAGTTCAAAGTAAAAGCTCAGACTGATAAGTATCTATGTTTTAAGGTTATTAATTGAGGATTGAGGAGGTATCAATAACAAAGTGTATTACAATATAAATTTAATATAATGAATAAACACCATACATCTGTTTTGGGAATAATTCATCCCATCTTCAGTGGCTGTTCAAAGATAAAAATGAGTGAAAAAATACAATTAACATATGAATTAGTATCAATAAACACAGGAATACAATGTAAAATTTATAGAAATAGAATTCATACCCAAGTATCATGGATTAAACACGTGGGACTTAACTCGGCTCTCACTTGAATGTTGCGTTATATTGTGACATAATTGTAGGGAAAGTGTGAAGAGGAAAGAAAAAAAGAGTGAGGGAAGTTAGTTAATATCTCTTTCAATCAACCTGTCTTACAGCTAGTCACAAAGATAGGTCTATCTCTACATACCCACGATACAGAGAGATGTTAGAGAAGCAAAACAATCAATCATTAATATGTATTTGCACTTATTTTCGTCTTTGTAGAACCCCTGAAAATTCCCTAAGGATTTAATTCAAGTATGTGTTATGAGAGCTTACTAATTTAGCTGGTATAAACATCCTTAGTAAGAAGTTGAGGCTGCCTAGCTTTCTTTTCTTTTGGGAATTCTCGTGTGAGTCATAAGGAGATTTAGTCCTTATTTCCAATACTAACCCTTCCTAGTGTGCCATTGAGCGATTATTTCATATTGTATGGACAACATTTGTTTCAGGATTCTACATTTTCTCCCCAAGGCATCAGAAGGTTTCATGCACTTCTTGCAACTCCCATTTTTATGATGTCTGCACTCTCAAACTTCTACTTTCTGGGTTCTTATGCTATTGGGCAAGTTTTTGTGTCACGTTTACTAAATGGTGAGTACATAAAAGAAGGATAATAACATCTAGGAGAAATTCTGGTTTGCTTATTTGAATACAAAACTAAAGAATGTACAGTGGTGGAAATGTGCAGTTTTCAATACTATAATTATTGAAAGAATGAACCATCTAGTGAATCTGAGTCCAACCTAATGAAACAATCTATAGCTACATTCCCTGTTTGTAGTCTTCATGGTGTAAAAATAAAATTATTCTTGGTGTCATTTAGTAACCACGTAACTAAAATGAAGAAGTATCTCCAAAATAAATAAATTTAAAAAAAAGTACCTTCTGCTCTTAGTCATTGTGTTCAACCTCATGTCAAGTAACATAAATATCACACTTTGGGCTGGTCTGATATACTGAGAGAAATCTGAAAAGTTTTTGAATTCTCTTTCTCAAACTATGCCAACATTAAATGAGATGCCAAAAGTCAGAAATGATGAGTTTTATTCTGTCTGTGCCAATTCTCACACAAACCTTTGATGAAATGATGTGGATTAAAAATAAAATAATACTGTAAAAAATTAAGATGTTTCTTGAAGTAAGCTTCTTGGAATTTGAATGTATTGAAAGTTAAGTTACTTGTAACCTGTAAGAGGTCATTAGTTAAAAGGTCAAGGATTATTGTATGCATTAAAATGTGAATTAATCTAGTTTGTTCAGTTTACTTCCTATACTAGTACACTAGATTTTAGGAGCTTTGGTTTCTCTTGGTGCTGGCTTCCTGAACTGAAGGAATCAGCTTTGAATCCTGAATACCAAATAGGTCTGAATTTTTATCTGGTGATTTCCATTCAGGATCAGCCCCTTTTCCAAATTAGTACCATGATCTTTCTGGGGGTCCAAAGCCACTGTGCTTGCCACACAATATCCTCCCTGTGATGATAGTGATGAATAGATAGAGCCCTTGCCTTCATCTCCCCCAAGGGCCACATTGGCCTCTGTGTAATTCCACTGGAGCACTTTTTCCTTTAACATTGATATAAAATTGTCATTGATATGGTAGTAAACACATGACAAAAATGAAGAAATACCTCCAAAATAAATAGCTAAAACATGTTCACTTCTGCTCTTAGTCATCGGGTCCTCATATCAAATAACATAAATATCACACTTTGGGCTGGTCTGATCTACTGAGAGAAATCTGTAAAGATTTGGATTCTCTTTCTCAAACTATGCCAACATCAAATGAGATGCCAAAAGTCAGAAATGATGAGTTTTATTCTGTCTGTGCCAATTCTCATACAAACTTTTGATGAAAATGATGTTGTGGATTATAAATAAAACATCACAGGAAAAAAATTAAGATGCTTCTCAAAACAAATATTAGATATTCATAAACATAGTGTGGCAGCTATGAGGTCTTATGTTAATGATTAACAGATATATATAGTTGTGGTTTGAATTTCCATTCAAGAACCTGAAACAAATGGGAACAGACCAAAGACCTGTTAATTTCATTCAAAGAGTAGTGGACTTGGTGTTTCTGATCAAGTTGTATTGCCTGTTCTTTAGCAAAATTGCTCTATTGTTTTGTTTCTGGCTATGTTTTAGCTTCTGATGGCTTTGTGAAATGTAATTGTTCACAGATACATTCCAGCACAATTTGTACTTGTTCAGCATCTGCTATTGCTGCTGTCAAGTATCCATTGAAGTCAACAACTGGGAACAAAGAAGAGTTCTTGAAGCCAAAGTGAAGTCCCAGTAGCAGTGTAAACGATACACATTTCAGAATTAACAAGAGGAAGTGGCTGTGGTAATGAATTTGTCCTCTTGACGTATGACGAATGACGAATGTCCAAATTCAAGCAATACTTTAAGATATATTTAAGATCATCCAAATTTTATTATATCACTGAAATGGAAGTTGATTATCAAAAATATTTTTTACAAATTTCAAAATAGTCTTAAAGATTTTCAAAAAATATTAGTGAATTAATTTTTTATTGAAGCTTGAATATAAACGAATGAATGTGTTTCTGTTTCATTCAAGTTGTTCGGTAGAATTATATTCATACATTTTGTGTATGACCATTAAAAATTATTTAAATAAATCCATATAAATAAACTTAAGGTATTCATTTAATTTCATCTCTATGTAATCACTTTCAATTATTCCATTTTCCATTCAAACTTCATTCAGTTATGTTCTAAGTTTTCTTTCTTCCCTTCTCCTAAACATATATCACTAGTTGAAGCACCCTGCATTGCCATGGTAATTATTAATCACAATTGTGTATTAAAGGAAAACAAATAAATTCATCTATAATGTTCCCTACCCTGCCCAAACCTTCCCTGTCTCGTTTTGCATCACCTGCTCTTTCTTGCCATGTTTGTTACGATCACTGATGTGGACAGCTGTAAACATATGTATTCTTATGAACTCCTGGCAAACTTCTAGTAACAATTTTAACCTTCAATTATTCTAAAACTAAAAGCATTATTAAAATGAATGAAAATGTGTTTTGTAGGATGTTTGTGGGCTTTGTTTAAATTCACTTCAGTTAATTTACTCATTGTTTTTGAAATATTTGTGAAGAACTAAAACACTTAATTTCACTTTAGAGGAGAAAAGGGAGTAGGAATAATTTGTACAAAATCTAATGTACACAGTAACATTTCTCTTTCTTTGAAGGTCACATGTTCAAAATGTCATTAAGATCAGAATATAACTAGATTTGTATAAAAAAAACATCACTCCTTTTAATATAAGAGAAAATAATAATTTAAAAAAGTAGCTTAAGTGATGACTAACCACACACTACCTTTCAGTGAAAAGAGCATCAAAACCACTTCGGCTGTTCCAGCGATTACCATAAACAGACTAAACTCGTAAAAACGGTTTTTATATTATCTAAATACAATATGAGCTATTTAAAAGATAGTTAATTTGAGATTACAGACAGTCACTCCAATTACATAGACGATTATCTCTTTTAAATAATTACTAGTTTAAATTGGGTTACTGCTGACTCAACAATTACTTTAGCGCTCTCTTCTGAATAACTTTTGATTGGTTAATTCAGGGTCAACTAGCTCATTTCATCGGTTACATATACTCTTTACTGCCAGTAACTTGGTTGTGGACTTAAAATCAAGGCAAGTGTGACTTCACAATCACGAAGCAAAAAAACTACCTCTCTTGAATTCCCAAAACGCAAGTTAATTTTAACATTTACGCTAAAAGAATTATAGTGTTTTTCATCTTGAAAATTCTGTGATATTTGAACAGAACGAAATTATCAAACCAAAGGTGGAACACACAGATTTGACTTTTTCATTTTGGGGTGTACTTGTGTTTAAGTTCTTGTTCAACAAAAATCAAGGGAGTCATTTCAAATGATTTTTTTTATTGAATTACTTTTGCTTGCAACTCAAGAAAAGACATTTTGTCACACATCTTTTTTGTTTGATGAAAAAATTTGGAAATTGGTGTTCTATTGCAGTTCATGGCAAATATGCCACATTTCAATTAACAAAGAACATTAATGAAAGAAATTCCAATAAAAAATGTTGTATAATGTAATATCTCAAGCATTAGTGCCATTTCCTTAGACCATAACTATGATTGAAATATTTAATTTTTAAAACAAAAACTTGTATAATTTTTGAAAATAACTTATAAATTTTAGAAATATAATTTATAGTTCTGTGCCCATGGAGGTTAAGGATGCAATGGCATGTTTGCCTAGGAAATATATTTTTGTCTAGTGAATAAAATTGAACATTGTTTTGACTGGTCCTTGCATCATTATTAATATCATAGTTCTATCTTCAAAAAGAGCAATGAAACTGAAACAAGTAAAAATTGTATATTGTAGTAAAAAACGGACTTAGTGCCCACCTCCAGAAAAAATTACTCCTCTTTACTGCGTAAGAAACAGTAATGCAAATTGAAAAGGAATGATAGCGTATTACTGATGTTGAGTAGTTTCTTGTAACAATGTGAATGAATACATTTATTAAAAGAATTTGGGTAGAATATATACTCTACTAAATTAAGCATGATTTTTCTAATTTAGAAAAAAATAATTTAAACAATGCATTAATGAATTGCGAATGAAGGAAATATGGTTGTCCATCCAACAGTCTATATGGCAGCAATTTATCTAAGAGAGAATGAATATTGTTTTACTGTCTCCAAATTAAAACTTTTTTCATTCAACTGGTGGGAACTAAATGGTGATTGTAGGGTACACATTGACTTTTCTGGAAAAAACAAGTTTTTAATTCACATACATGCCTGGTACAAAATTTGTAAAGAGTATCTATGTATAAATCTCATTCATTAATTTAATATTTTTAAACAATGATCAAATTACTATTTTAAAAATACAAAAGTTTAAAAAAGTAATCACCTTTATTTGTTACAGTTTACAGATAAGTGACAATGGAACTACAAAAAGGAAAAATAGTATAGAATAATAACCTTTCTGTATCTTAAACTTGATGTCTTCCACAATTTTATTTTTGTAACATAAATATTGCATATTGTTTGCACTGTCATTTTTATATTGTCACAATAAAATTCTTCCACTTTTCTTCAAATCATAAAACATTGCATCTGAAGTGATCTACTTGTTTCCACATCCTTACAAAACCTTCTAAAAAATAAAGATATCAGGAGACTTACAAAACTAAACTTTTACAGAAAATTAATATTTATAAATAGCTAAAGCACATAATCAGATTATCCCTTCTGTAATTCTTGAATTCCACCTAGAACTAATTTTATTGTTGCTTTATTATCAGCACTGTCTTGTGCAAGTTTCTGTAATTGTTTCTGCAACATTGCAGATTTTTTTTCAACATATATCAAGGCACTTTTGAGTGAAAATTCCAAATAATGTCCCAAACCAATGTCAATGAATATTGTGCGAGCATCATTAATATTAGCTTGCACATAAAAATCACAGCCTAAACTCATTTGACTTTTAAATCCATTTTCCAAGTCCATGTCAATGTATGTTTCAAGTGTATTTTTCAACTGACCAAGCTCTGCTAAATCATGGAGAACTTTGTCCCGCAGAAAATGAATTTTCTTCAGGTCTTCTTTCAAAACATCATTAATGAAGATTTCGTACTTATGTATCTTCTCAGAAACATCTCGGGTCATTTTTATTAATCTTTCCCTGACAAGCTGAAATATAAGAAATTTATCAAGGAACACTGAAAAAAATAATCTAACCTCAACAAAATATACCAATACACCAATTATGTACGCGCAATTAAAAGTTATAATCGAATTAGTTAAAAAATAATTCAGTTTATTTTACATGCTTTGATATTCTTTTTAACACACAAAGAATCCCAAAGTGCACTATCAAGTACAGCTTGACAAGTTGCACACCGCTACTGCTAACCCACAAATTGTATTTGACAGTGAAAAGTATCCAAGTACCAGGTAATGTAATTATCCAGTGCTTTGAGCAGCACAGCATAAATTGTGCTCAGGCTATGAAGTGTGACTTCACAAAAATCAATTAGGTAAAAGAAGGATAAAACCCACGATTTGTGGTGCAACTGCAAAGGGTGCAGCAAACGTCCCTACACTACGCGTAAGGTACGTCGATGTTCTATTGAACGATGATGTACCTAGCACCATTAGGTATAGACAAAATTTGGTAAGGCATGTTTTATCAAACTTTCTTTTAATTAGTACCAGAAGTAATTTATATTTTCAGCAGATTTCCAGTGAAGATGACAATATTTCATAACAAACAGGCTGCCAACGTCACGAACATGACGTGCGTTAATTTAAGGCAGTGTCAAGGGTTCCAGCTATTGAACATCATTAGACACTTTGAGAATTTCTAAGTTACTTATGACATATATTCCACACTTTCTTCCTTTTAACTTTCCGGTTCAAGTTGTTCATCACCGTCATCATGCTTTTTTTCATATTTCTTAAATATTTGCAGGTTAACATTGACCCCTTCACCATTGTCAGCACTGTAATTTGACACAATTACCCAAGGAGGTTGTATTATAGCCCAATCAAACTTATAACCTCGTTGTAATTACCGAATCAAAATTATTAAAATTTATCTTTATAAAAATTTAAAAAAATCTATTAATAAAATAAATTAAATTTCAGTAATTAATATTACAGTCTTTTAACACGCACTAGTGCAACCAAGTGGCCCGCAAGCTGTTAGATCTGCTGGTGGAAAAAGCCAGTAAACGTGACTAAACCAAGCGACTTACTTTGATCAAACATGACTTTCAATGTTTTCAAGGCTGATGAGGACGGGACAATCGACAGAAGGAGAAAGAATTAAACTTTTGCAATTTTCGAAAAGTCAGGGTTTAAACGAAAATTCCATTCTCTAAAACGTCCAACAACGTCCACTATCCTACAACAAAATTTAATTTAAAAAATGAACCTTTTTTGGAAATTTTAAAAATGCTCGAGGGGTTCAATATAAAATACCTCCCCCCAAAATATTCTAGGGGCCTGACATCACCCAGAACGATTGCCAAATATAAAATTTGGAGATAATTTGCTGAACGCTTTATGCGCTAACGTTGTGCACAGACGTACGGAGACGTTTTCCCGCCCATCTATTTTTCGGTATCAAGGACGCACCAATCATTGATTCTGGCTACACCACGTGTCAGAGGATTTTTTCTCTATTTAGCAACTGGTTTTATCCACTTTTTCGTTAACAGTGCCCGGCAATAAGTGTTTTTG